AAGTTGGTGGTTCAATGAGTATGTGTACGTATATATTAAAATTATACAGGGTTGAGAGAGAGAGATCTAGAGAGAGAGAATGCAACCTAGCCTCTTGCAATTTTAAAGAACCCTCTATCAATCATTACGGAACCGAACTCCACTTTTTAATATTTTTGGAACTCCATTTTTTAGGTCACATTGGATCTTGTTGACCAAGAGGAAGTAGTTTAGACTAGGGCTACAATTCGGACGGATTAGGTGAATTTGAGGTTGAGTCCAACTCATTATTTGAAATGTTAAATCCAAGACTAATCTTAATCCTATCCTTAACATTAACTACTCAACCCGAACTCAATCCATCCTTCTAATTTTAAATTCGGACTTGTAACTCGGGCTTAGATTTCAAGTTAAAATTTCGGGTTACTCATATAACTAATCTTTATATCGAAAATTTAATATGATCTCGAATTAGTTTTAAATTAAATTACTCTTAAATAAGAAAAAGTTTAAAGACTTTTTGTAGATTTTTAATAAATTACAAACTTTTTAAAAAATTAATCCTCATTAACATATAATAAGTTAAGATTTAACAAAAAATGTTGAAAAGAAAAAAATTAATCATACTTTAAATATTATATATAATGTATTTAAAAGTAAAAATATGTACCAAGTTCCTACTTCTCAAAGAGAGGTCAGGGGTTCGAGTCTCAGTGGAGGCATGCGTGTGTGAGTACCAATTAGGGAAAAAAAAAAAAAAGTAAAAATATATATGAAAATAATATTAGAATTCGGGTTTGGATTGCTAGCACTTCAACCCAAGCCCAACCCTAATTAAATTCGGGTTGAGATTTTTCAACCTAAGCCCAACCTAATTAATTATAAAAATGATTATCCAAGCTTGTGAAAAATCGGGTTGAGTTCGGGTTACCCAACCCAAGTTGAACCCCTAGTTTAGACCAATTAAGAAAACCACCAAAACTTGTAGGGGAAAGTAAAAATTAGGATCCTTATTGGTATGATTTTAAGTATATTGCGGTTGAACGTATTTAAATCAACAATGTAACAATCATGTAATAATTTTAAATCAATAACACAACAAATAACACACCAAATGTATTGTATAAGTAGGTGTTGCATAAGTGTTCCATCTTTTGCGTATGAAGATTAATGTAATAATAGGAGAGGATCTAGGCACGGGAGGGTGCCACATTGTTTTTTTTTTTTTTTTTAACAAATTAGAGGAAGGTGACTCGAATATGTACCCACCCGTTCGGAAAGCTGAACACTCTACCAATTAAATAGTTGAGTAATAACGGGTGCCACATATTAATTTTGAAAGGAGTTTAACCTGCCCGACAAAGTGCGATTTAAAACAAAGGAGGGAAAATAATGGGAATTGATCAATTATGTGGATAAGATGTATGGTAGAAGTCTTAGCATTGTAGAGGTGGCAAAGCTCAATATGAAACTAATAGACGCTGTCAAGAGGTTAGAATTGGACCTTAATTTCTTTATCCATTGCCCAAGATTCCAACTATATGCTTTTTTAATTCCAACTTACCATTCAAATATATATATATATTTCTATGTAACATGTCCTGCATATGTGGATACACATACGCGCCGCGCACAAACACATTTTTTTAATTTTTGGTAAGTTAGAAAGGATTGGGTTAATGTAATATGCTATTGCTAGTTGCTATTTTTGAAAATGGAGGGGATATCCAGCGAACCAAACGCACCTCATTACTGGCTCTGGATATGAGATTAAATTAGTAATATATATATATATATATATATTAAACGAAGAATGGTTCTATATCTTATAGTACATATTTACGGGTTTAGGTAAATACAGATTTGATAATAGGATCTATATAAATAAAAATAACAATATAATTTATGAGGGGAAACAATAATCAAAACCATCATATTATATATATATATATATATATATATATATATATATATATATATATTTCATCAACAAAGGTGACAATAATTAACCTATATGCATCCAAGGGAATAATGCATATGCATATTATATAAATTGTAGCGGCACCGCCAAATCTCACTCTTAGATACCCATCAGTTAACTTTCTGCCAAATGAAACTTCTTTTTTCCGCCAAGCTAAGTGAAAGTTGGTAACTGAGCTTCCAGGAAGTATATATGTCCTTATAAGAAGACAGTGAAGTTATATTAGACATACATATATCCTAATGCATATATATATATATATATATATATATATATATATGATTTCATTATATATATATTCTCCTACTTTTCTTTACGCGTGACTGCATTCATTGTAGATTTTCGAAAAACTTTTGCATAATTTAGTTAGCTAATCCACACTAAAGATATTCTGCCAAAACGCGCTAGCTTCATAGCAAGTACCGCCGACCATAAAATAAAATAAATTAAATTTGAGTAAAAAATAAAATAAAAATAGAAGGAAAAAAAGCCCTAGCTAGGTTTGTTGCTGTGAAAGAAGAGAAAATATTCAAATAGTAATATATATTAATATATATAATGGCATTTTGATAAATCCTAAAAGTAGACAGCCTCCGGAAAGCTAACAAGCAAGCTGGCCTTGGAGCATTGCAAGGCTGGTGGAAGCTAGAAATGTATAACAAAAAGACATATACATTCCTACCAAATCATTCATGCATGGGATATGGCCAAGTACATATCTTTCTACCTCTTTCATATATATATATGTGTGTGTGTGTGTGTTGTGTGTGTACACACACATATATATCATCCCTTTGTATGTTGCATTTGGAGGTTTGTTTTTAAAATATGGGTTGGGTTGGCCTAAGTGAAGTTTGGTATGATCATGATATTACTCATTCCAAAGCCCTTTTTCATGATATAATACTAATATATATAGCCATAGAAACGCCAAATCCATAGCTCTCAATCTTTTCATAAAAAGGAGAGACTCCATGAAACCAAACAATTCATGCACATGCTTCCCTCTTCTTCCCATGAATTTTCACTCGATTAACACCAGTGGTCCTGGTGGGCTGCACCATCATTTTTCCAACTCAAAACTCTTCATGCACATAGATATATATATGCAGTTAAAAAATATACTACTATTAATTAATTACTATATAGCAGTACTTCATGACTAACCTATAGCTAGCATACAAGTATGAATCCTAAGTACGTTCACTTTTTAATCACCATCATTATCATAGGAAAAGCTCCAAATTCCAGTACTTTACTTCCTTCCTTAGCATGACGACGCGTGTATCAATTGTCAGCCTTATACGTGTTATCACAGGGATTAGGGTTTCCATAGAATTACATGCATGACATTGATTCCTACTCCAAAATTGTTTACTATCATCATATAATATTTTCCATTAAAATTGTTAAAAAGTAATAAATCTTAAACCTAGCTAACTAATTAGTTGAATGCATTGGTTAAGGCCATACTGTCCTATTCTTAAAGTTCATGAGCAGTGGTTCGTACGAAGTTAACAGATGGTCGAACCCTTCATGAAGTGGGCTGAGTTATTTAACCCCTTGCTAGCTTTTTGAATTCTTCAACTTATAAATAAACCATCTTCAATTGTGTAATTTAGGACTCAGAGTTATCATTCCGATTTTTTTCATACTAATTTTTAACTTTTATCCCTCTAAAATTAGTGACGTGTTTAAGAATATTATTATTTTTTTCTTTCAATCAAAATAATAATGAAGGTCTATTTATAATGACATTAGTTAAGGTAATCAGAGTCGGTACGCAAATGAGACATGTAGAGTCTATTTTAACTGTGTTGGACTAGTCCCCACATCTTGTGTGTATCGTATCGACCATGACTGACCTACATGTGAACAACTCTTTCTTTTTTTAATATAGCTTCGTTATCATACAGTTATCGATACATTCTTAGCGAAAGGACAACATTATCACTGCTAAATAATGGTCTCTTGAGGCTAAAAATGGCAATATTGACTTTTTAATCCAAAACCCTAAGATTTTTTTTCTGTTGATGAATTAAGGAAAGGCATTGTACAAAATGTTAGGACCAATGTGGGACTACAGATGCCACCAACGTGGGTGTGAACCATGGGTTGGCAGGAATGGGTTTTGTGGACCTAAACAGCCTTACAAGTCCCAATCCCAATGCCTCTGAAGCCTGTGGGGGGTCCAATTAGAGGGGTTTGACGTTAAAACCCTTGACTGATCCACTCCCACGTGGGTGCACTGTGCCTATTCCAGTCAGCAACTCCTCCCATGCCAGGTAAGCATAGACTTTGTTTCAGACCCATTTGTAGGCCCACCAAAATCTGATGAGGATGACGAGTCACTATCACTGTTCCCTAATTCTCCCTCTAATTCTTTTGTTTCAACATGTTTAGTAGTTTTCCCAAAAATTTAAAAATAATAATAATAAATAAATAAAATATACCTCATTTGTGTTATTCTCAGTGTATCTCTCCTATATTATGCTCATTAATTTCATCCGAGAGTTGAAGATTAAATTATAAAAAAAAAATTAGTCTAATTGTACGAAATTCTCGTCACAGTAGCATGAGGAAAGTCGGACTTACAATTTTATTTTCAGTGGCTATTTCCATTTTCTAAACCTAAATATAAATATCAATATTTGAAAATTATAGCATGGAATTGTCATGTACTCATCCGTCGTTGGAGCCTTTACCTTATGTCACTTATTTTATACACAGCAATAACTTCATATAAATTCTAAATATTTTTAAAATAAAAAAATATAACAATTAATTAAAAAAGAATAAGCTGAACCCTCTTCATTTTTTTAATAGCAAATATAATTTAGTAAGATCTAATTGTTTAATGATTGTAACATAAAAGAAAATATAAAGCAGACTTCAGCTTATGATTTGGGAATGAGCCTTGAAGAGCATTAACTTCCCACTCCCATCACATGCACCTCTCATCAGTGATGTCCCAACACCCCCCTCCCCTATTTAAGCCCCCTCCATCCCCTCATCTCCCATCAAAAAACACAAACTCCATTGTCTTCTCTCACTTCGAACCTCAAAAACCCACCCTATCATCTCTCTTTGCTCTTCTACAAACTACTACCAACTAAGCTCAAAAACTATTCTTTCACACACCCTTTTGTAAGCTGAAAATGTTTAGTGTTTCTGATAACAATGACTTCTGTTATCCTCGTTGTGTTTGGGTGAATGGCCCAGTCATAGTCGGAGCCGGGCCGTCCGGACTAGCAGTGGGAGCATGCCTCAGAGAGCAAGGTGTGCCCTTTGTGGTACTTGAAAGAGCTGATTGTATTGCATCGTTGTGGCAAAAGCGTACTTATGATCGCCTAAAGCTTCACCTCCCCAAGAAATTCTGCCAACTCCCTAAGCTCCCATTCCCCGAAAGCTTCCCGGAATACCCAACAAAGAAACAGTTCATAAACTATCTTGAATCATATGCAGAGCACTTTGAAATCAACCCACAATTCAATGAGTGTGTGCAGTCAGCGAAGTACGACGAGGCTTGGGGCCTTTGGCGTGTCAGGACCGTGTCCACCAGGGGCTCAACCCGGTCTGAGGTTGACTACATTTGCCAGTGGCTTGTGGTGGCCACCGGCGAGAATGCAGAGCGTGTGATGCCGGATATTGACGGATTGAAAGATTTTGGAGGTGAAGTAGTTCATGCTTGTGAGTACAAGTCTGGAGAGAGCTTCTCTGGAAAGAAAGTTCTTGTTGTGGGTTGTGGAAATTCAGGCATGGAAGTGTCTCTTGACCTCTCCAACCACAATGCTAAACCATCAATGGTGGTCCGAAGCTCGGTAAGTCATTCTTATAGTACTTTTTTTTTTTTTTTACTTCGAAACTAGAAATTTTAAGTCATGAAATTCAGATACTTACAAAGTGCACTCTGTTTTTGATCTACAGGTTCATGTTTTGCCGAGGGAAGTATTTGGGAGATCAACGTTTGAATTGGCTTTTATGATGACGAAATGGCTACCACTTTGGGTGGTTGATAAGATTTTGCTGATTTTCGCATGGTTGATTCTTGGAAACATTGAGAAATACGGGCTGAAAAGGCCAACAATGGGTCCATTGGAGCTCAAGAACACCAGTGGAAAGACCCCTGTTCTGGACATTGGTGCAATGGAAAAGATCAGATCTGGTGAAATTCATATAGTCCCCGGAATCAAGAGGTTCTCTCGCGACATGGTTGAACTCGTTAATGGTGAAATGCTCGAAATTGACTCGGTTGTTTTGGCTACTGGGTACCGCAGCAATGTCCCATACTGGCTACAGGTGAGATGATATTCTAAGTTCCCTGTTCATTCTTCACACACGGTCATACACGCACAATCACACACACATACTCTGGGGGAGGGGGTATTCTGTGACAGTTTTGACAGTTGGGACTATAAAGAAAATGATACCCATAATCCCAAAAGGATGTCAGACTATGAACAGATGGCTAAGCTTCTGTTTGGCAGTTTGATCTTTGTTCCATTTCTTTGCAGTCAGAAATATATCATTCCTGACAGTTGTTCTTTTTTGTGTTTTTTTATTTGAGTTTCTGATATTTTGTTCTTTATTAAGTGCATAAAAGATATTTGGATAAATGGAGTAATCTTGTTTTGATTTGATTATGTACAGGAAACAGAATTCTTCTCCAAGAATGGTTTTCCAAAGGTGCCATCAAATGGGTGGAAAGGAAATGCTGGGCTCTATGCTGTTGGATTCACAAGAAGAGGGCTCTCTGGTGCATCCTCAGATGCAATGAGAATAGCACAAGACATCGGCAAGGCGTGGAAGGAAGATTTGAAGCAGAAGAAGCAAAAAGTCCCTTCACATCGACGATGCATTTCACAGTTCTGATCACAGATCTCCGAAACATTCATTGATTTCCCTTTCCTTTTCCTTCTTTGTTAAATACATTGCAGATCAGAGTGAAATGTATCGTGTAAAGATAGCAATTATGAAAACAGAAAGAAAGAACAACTAGCACAGAGACCAGCCCTCTCCAGAAAAGCCCAAAGTTTTGATAATGTTTGGGTGTTTTGTATACCGAGGATGACGAGGCTTTATTTTTTTCTTTAGTTCCAAGTTTTTATGTAGCTTTGTACAATTATCCAGTTATCAGTTATAATGAGAAAGAACGTCCTTCCCCACACTTCATATCTTCATTTTCTCTCCAAATATTCCGAATTTTTATATGTTTTTGAATTATATGCATAGCTTTGGACTACTAGTATTGATAAAAATAAATAATTTATTTTAAAAAATTTCTCATATTGTTCAAGTTTTGGGGCGTTGTTTCGAAGTGTCTTTACCTCTTTGGTAAAGACTGATCATGTTAAATAATAGAATGTCCTATGTCCAGTTGTTTTCAAGTTCTACATCAATTGATGGCACTGTTGAACTGTTTTAAATTGGATAGTATTTCAATCTTTCTTCTCCAGTAGACATCAGAGTTCTTTGGAGGAATGGTCCATTGATATAATATTTGGGATCAACTTGTTGATTGGCATCCATTGGGGTGTAGGGCCTATCAAGGACAATAAACCTCAATTCCACCATATCCACCACATTTTTTCTCTCTCTTCTCAGAATCCCCACATTCAAGATGGCTGAACATCACCTTAAAAATTATTATCTTTCAGTTTGACCAACTCTAATAACTAAAAGCTTCTGTTGCCTAGCACATGGATAGAACCACCAGCCCTCAATCAAAACTACAGGTTAAATCTTCTCTGTAAAGCATAAATGGAAACACGAATAGAACTGAATAAGAACTCGAAGACTAATAAATACGTAATGTGAGAATGAGCTGTTTTAATGTTATGTTTAGATAAAGTAACTCTACTGTGTGACCAAATTATTTTTCTTGGAAAATTTGCGACTGGCAAGCCATGGAGCGCCAAAATGCAGAAAGTTCTAAAAGCAATAATTGTCCACTCAAGCCTCAAACCGTGTCCTTCGTGTGCTTAACCAGTAAGTGAATGTACATTGTTAAACTAGTAGACAATTGCAAGTGCCGTGTTGCCTGAGTGGTTGGGTTGCTCCCCGTGACTAGGAGCTTGTGTTTGAACCTTGCACCCTCCCACACCCTCCTTACCCCTAACATTCTTGCCATGAAAAAAAAAAAAAAAAAGAACTAGCAGACAATTAAAGACAACAAGAAGTAGAAAGTGAGTGATGACTAGAATTGTACCTGTATGATATCTAAGGGCATGGTACAACCAGCAGATGGGTAAAATTGAATGAAGATGAAGACTCTTCATGTACAGAGTTTGCAGTCTTTGATTCTGTGGATTTACATAATGTGTCACTATTAGTTTGATTCAAGAATCAAATTTCATTATGCCATATTTTTTCTGGTCAGAGAATCCAACACTAATCACACAGAGGAACTTACCCTTTCTTATATGGCAAAGGGACCTAAGTAGAGATGAAATAGTACTTTCCAACAGCTTCTGAAAAACTCCCAAGCACTTCATACACAAGAAACTAATCAAATGGCAGCCACTTCACATTCCCAAACAGAGCCTAACAACAAGCCACATGGATCCCCATCCTACTGATTCAAAATTACAAAAAGGTTCTTCATCTCAAAGGGACCTATGTAGAGATGAAATAGTACTTTCCAACAGCTTCTGAAAAACTCCCAAGCACTTCATACACAAAAACTAATCAAATGGCAGCCACTTCACATTCCCAAACAGAGCCTAACAACAAGCCACATGGGTCCCCATCCTACTGATTCAAAATTACAAAAAGGTTCTTCATCTCATCTCAATACCCATCTACATCAATGGCCCATCTACACACTTGACCACCACATCCTCAAATCTGCAACTGAAATTTCATCAACCTGACTGCATCTAACAGCTACATTTTATGTCTTTTTCTATTTAGACTCCTTTGCATGATTTTGCATTACCCTTGCAGCCTCCTTCTCTTTGGACATCAATACTGACATACCGAATGCCAGAATCCCACATGGGTTGGCCACAAGTCTCTTTTGCTACTTCTCAATCCCATCACGAGGGCCAATTTTCTTCTACATGCTACTAAGATAAACCATGGTATGCCAATTAGAAATCATTCCATACCATCGATTTTAGACTTGTAGCAGGAATGCAAGATCATACCCTACCATGGGCACTTAAAATCCAAGTAAATGCAAGTGAAATAAACAACTTGTAGGATGACTTTACCTTAAACCAGAGAGGTATATAATCATGAATTATCTTGGAAGTCAGGGCTTCTTGCAAACATCAGCGACAAGTTCTCAGGCAAGTATTGGCTTCTTCATCAACATTTTCATGTAATGATAATAATAGCTTCTCCTAATACAAAAACCTTTATGCAACAACCATATTCAATTCTTCTGTATACAATAAGCACACAGTTAGCCAGTAGCAAATTATCTGAGAGAAAAAATAACAGAAATTCTTCCATCTCCAATTAACATTAACCTTCATGAATTTATATAATACATCACCCCTAATAGGGAACTATAAATTACACTGAACAAACTAGACATAGTACATAATAAATTCTTAATATAACTAAGCCTACATTACTTGCATATTTTCTCACTAGTCAATCCTTCATAAACTGGATCATGATATTCCTAATTATAATATCAAAGTTCAGGAGTACGGGTATCTTTATTTGGGATCAAACAGAGCTTTGATTACATGCATAACCTAGCAACACTCCCTGTTACATTTTATTGAGGAGCCATGCGACAAGAAGACAGTGTGTTATTAACATGAAAAAATAAAATCCCTAGGCCCTATCATTCTATCATCAAATCCCAAATATGAGAAGTACGAGTCTGTTCCAGATTATGCTATAAGCACTAACAATTAGTGTTTAAATGCACTGGCAAAAGAAAATAAAACATAAGGATAGACTAAATATGGTAAATATTCAACCATGTCCATGTTACATATTAAAAAGGAACATGTTGGTAAGGAGACACACATAAGGCAAAAGAGGCTTCAGAGATATCATTCAAACAACCTCAGTAAAGCCATGTCCTAAACTTCAGACCGCAATACAGATAGAGAATGCACAAAAAAGTTCTAGTTAGAGGATAAATCCATCATTCAAGTCTATCCAACCATTCCCTTCTTCTCTTAACAGACATTGCCATAAACATTTCCTTCCAGTCATCATCCCTAAACATCTCAAGAGCTTTCATATAAGTTCTTCCATCCACACCTTCCATGGCCTCTAAGCACTGTATACAGTTCTTTAAGGAAAAGGAAGGTGATGAGTCTGGAGCTTTAGATTTCCCTTCCATTACTTCAGTCTTTAGCTTTGAAGTTCCAGTTTTTGCTCTTTTCCTTGCTTCAAAAATTTTATCCAAGGCTTCAGTCTTTGCCCTTGTCAACTCAATCCACACTGACACAACTTCCATCAATTCTTTTTCCTGGGCCTTCCTCTTTCGACGAGGGCATAACTGTTGACATTCATAAAACGCCGACATAATGAGCAAAACCACAATCTCATCCTGATCATCTATAAGCCAGTCCAAGAGAATTAAGTCCATTTTGTCCATCTAGCAAAAATTACAAGAGTTGATCATTCTATGCAGGAATCCAACGTAGAAAATATAAAATAAAATAAGCTACAAAAGCATTCAGCTATGTCCTCAACACATGCCCAAAAAAATTGTGATAAAATCATTCTTTCATTGGCAAGATAAGTTTAAAAGCATCGATCAAAGAAACTTAAATAATCATGGAAAAGAAAATAAAGGAAAATAAAGGAAGAAAAATGTCATAACCCAATTAACTTGTTCAGAAAGTTTATTTTTCTTTTTCTGTTTCTTTCAGGATTGTCCATTAGTTAAACATCCACAAAAACACACTTATAACCAAGCACCTTGGCACATCTGGTGCTAAAAGCATGTCAAGGAATGATAATCAAGCACCTTTGGACCTTGCTACCGTCTGTAATTACTACAGCCTATAAGAGAGTAGGTGTCATTTCGAGCTGTAACAAGTACGGCATTTGTGATTAATAGCTGTAACAAGTGTCACACCATCAAAATTCTAGGTGATGCTAAAATTTGGGTGATGATGGTTATATGAAGTATGAACAGAAAGTGGATCATAAATTGAGTCAAAGTTTTGCCAAGATTGAACAACAAAACTATTTTCTTAATTTAACAGCTAAAGCAAAGTTTCAGCTAAAACAATTAGTGCTTCCATATAGTTCTTATATACTTGGAATAATTATAGTGATTTTCCAAATAGAGAATCTGGTACTTTCAGAAAATGAAAGAGTTCTTACTAGATGATGGAAGCGTCTGATGAAGTGGTTACTAGTAACAGAGTAATTTGAAGGAGGACTAATAATGGACCAGCAACAAATTACAGCAATTTGGAAGACAATTTTTGTAAATCAATGTAATTAACAAATGTAGATATTTGGGAAATACCCAAGATGATATGAAATACATAACTATAAGAAGTTATTTCAATAAATTATCCACTGGCAAAATGCTAGATGTTGTCTTACAGAGATAAACTGGCAATTAATGTAATTCAAAATGTAAACATCAACATATAAATCAGGAAAAAAAAAAAATCAATCATCAAATGTAGACAACACAAGGAAATTAATCTGGCAGTCTAAGTATAATCAACAACAGATTAAAATAATGGGGTTCAAAATGGAGTCGTACATATATGTGTGTGTGTATATATTATGTATATATGTACATAAATGCGTTATATATATACATACAATCATGATTCATATCTTGCATATATATACATACAAGAATATAGATTTAACCATAAGAGTTAGTGGTACTACCGCTGTGGTACTACGGCGAGCGAGCTGTTGGCGTTCGTGGATAGAAGAAGGTAGAGGTATCAGTGGGCTGAATTGAGAAGTTGCAAGTGTAGGGCTTGTGGCGGGACTTGTAAAATTTTCGTTCCCGCGTTTAGAATAATGAAATTTTAAAAGGTAATGGAATTTGAAGGGGTTTCAAAGAAAGTTTTATAACGCCAAATTAGATGAAAAATATAATAAATCATTTATTATTATTATTATTTTGTAGATGAGGAATGTAATACTAAAATTATCATTTTATAAACTGCTTTTATATCTCTCATTTTATAAACCTTTTTCGCATAATTTTATATCTTTGAAGAATTTGATTCCAATAAAGTCTTATTTTCTTGGCTGAAGGACAAACAAATGATTAAAAATTGCAACTCCGTTTTTAGGGTTTGGTAACACTGTCTCGACATTAACTCAACTTGTCACTCGAAAAAACTGCAGCAGATTCAAAATAAATTTTTTAAAATACAGTGGCTTTAAATAAATATTTTGATTTTAGTTTCCTCCATATATCAGAAGATTTATTTGAGCGATTTTACCTATCTAACCCTAATATATATATATATATAATACCTATGTTTTCAAGTTTAACAAAGAAAACATTGCATATAATAATACTGTTCATTGTATTGTGACTCTTATTTGTGTCTGTAAAAAGCATGATAATTAACATCATGCAAGGAATGCTTAATAAACCATTTGATTTACATTTCATCCGCGGTTAGCTTTGTCTGCAAAAATCAAAACTTCAATGAATTGTATTTTTTTTTTTTTTAAACATCATGCAAAAAAAACTTTAGATCGTATAAAACTTTTGAGAAGTTTAAAAATTAAGTGTTAAATCTTTTCATTTACTCTGATATTCTGTCTTTCCAGTCATTATTTATTTATTTATTTTGGTGGTTGATATCTTCCTATAATAATAATAATAATAATTATTATTATTTAGCAAGCACAATAAGTCATTTAAAAAAAAATAAAAAATATCGTGACATGGTTTGAACGTGAACTATGAATAAAAACTTGAATAAATTATTCTAATTAGGGATGGTAATGGAGTTGTTTAGGGTAAGGATCTTATTTCCCATACTCATTCGTGTTTAGTTTTTTTCATTCGAGTAACAACCCCAAAATTCATCAAGTTTTTCAAAACAACTCCATCACGATTTATATAATCAATTCCACAAAGTCGCCCCCAAACGGAGCGGACTCGCTAGGGTGGAAAATTTTGCCATTTCTTTATAAATACTTAACCTATTTTAATAATATATTATATAGTATGTAAAAGTAATTTAATAAATTTATAATATATTTGGGGTAGATTGCGATAAAGTAACCATTCCCCGAAACCGCTATAAAATTTAAGATTTTTCAAAACAACTTCCATCCTATCCCATTTACGTAATCGGTTCTCTAAAATTGTTTCAAACGGGACGGGCAGCTCGGGGTGAAAATTTTTGCCATCCCTACTTTAACCTAACATAAAATTTTAAAAAATCGTCATTAGTTTAACGTGGTGCAAAAATTGCTCTACACGAGCTTGTCACAGTTTGTATAACAAAAAGCTAAATTATTAATATGTTCTATAATTTTACTCTCAAATTATTTTAATAGTTCAAAATAAATTTAACAAAAATGAGTCAAAAGACCATTACTCATTGAATCATTGAATCTCTTAAATTTTTTTTTTTCATCCGGAGTTTTATTTACTAAATTATGTTTCAGAAATATTACAGACATACTTTAGTTTATTTTTTTCCTTCTACGAGAAAGAAAATAACCATTCCAAATAAATAAATAAATAAATATATATATATATATATATATATATATATATATATATATATTAAGACCATTATTGAAAAAATGAAAAAGAAAAAGAAGAAGAATAAGAAGAAATACTATAAGCATTTTGGGTGTGGAAGGGCGCACCGTGGCACTACAATGATCATCCAAACGACCCAAAGCGCAGAATAGCCTCGCACTAGTTTCATGTTAGCGACCTATATCAACTGCTGCCTGGTTCTGCTGCTTCTTCTTCTGCTTCGCGGACAGTAGCCATGACCGCAGTGGCTCAACTTTCCTACATAATCGGGTGCCCTAATTTTTATCAACTGGGATTTTCCCGCCAGATTTCCATTCGCAATCTGAACACTGGGTTAACTCCCTCCATCAATTCAGCATTTCGCATATCACGCACTACAAGCCCACCACTCTCCTCCTCCATCACATGTTTTGCCGCCAATAAGCCCTCTTCCTCTACCGAAATCAGGTACTCTCTATCATATATGTATGTATGTATGTGTGTATACATATCTGTCTTTACTCTTTATATGTACGTAAAGTCTTATTTGCTTGGTTCAATTTTGAATAAGTTCTTCCTCGTGTAGAATGGATTGATTCCATGAATTTTAGTATAATTTGTGAATTTTTATTCTCAATTTTGTTCGCTGTTTGATTATGCTAATTTTGCTGTGAATGAGCGATGATAGGTGCTCTTACCAAAATTTCGTACAAGCATTTGTGGATAAGGATATGATAACTGATTAGCAAAAAAAAGTGAACATACACATAATTTGGGTTGTTCGATGTATGAACTTCATGCCTTAATAACATCCACACTACTGTATTTGAATTTCGAATGCAGGTGAATTAAAAACTAGTCTAGCTTACCAGCCGAAAACAATACTTTGATTGCTTGATATAAACAATTTTGTGTATCTAGGCAAATGTCTATACCAGATCGAATACCCATTAAATCGAAAAGATATGAATTCATTGTTAATAAACTCATGATGGTGGGAAGGATTGCATTGATTTAAGTTGTGAAGCATATCGTGGGTATTACATATTGTTGACAAGATGGGAAAATTCATATGCAGAGTGTAGGTTGCTAGAATGTTGAGGATGGCATAATGTTGTAGAGACTAGAAAGGGCACGAATACTAAGTTATGTTCATGGAGTGTGCGGCCATGTGTATATATATATCAGAGAGAGAATGTGGGTCAACTTTTAGTAGTATGGAGAGAGTTGGAATGAGGGAATTGCTGTGTCTGGATGGATCCTGATAGTGACAAGTTTTGTGATTTTGTCTTGATCATTTTGAAAAGATCCAAGATTAAACAGTATGTTCTGTACAGAAACTGAACATTGTTATTTGTTACACAAGAAGTTCAGTTTCTACCTTTCCAAAAAAGAATCTGAACTTGTTGTGCAAACAAAGAGGTTCCTTTGCAGATTTTGCCAGTGACCCTTCAAATTGAAATTAATTTTATATCACTGCTAAAGAATAGATGTGGGTTTGCCCTTTATTATTAAATTGTAAAAACCATGTCTATTAAATAAGTGTATCTAAGATAACAATGCTCCGTTCAAGGAGTGTCAAGAAATAGATCTAGTTAATCACTCGGATTAAGAGGTAGCGGCAAGAGGTGAAAACAGGATAGAGCATCTAATTTAAATGGTTTGGTCTTATGCAGTGAAGGTACGTGACTTCTCCATTGCACAGTAACTGGTAAGGCACATATAAAGCAAGTTCAATCATTGAAGATTCTACAATAACGAACAAAAGGCCAAGGTAGTGAAAATCCTCATAGAAGTAATGCCTTCGATAGGGAAAGAACACGGATGAAGGGTTTGTGCTATTGACCAAAATTAGTTTTATAACTGTATAACAGTACTTTTTTTTGGTATTAAATTTGAAAGAAGATGTTTGAGGACCTAAAATTGGTGAGATGGTTTGTTGAGAGGTGTTCACAGTTGATACCTACCAATCTAAATTAATTCTTTATGAATTGTTTTTGTTTTCTATAGGAAGAGATTTGATGATCACCAAGAATCTAGTCATATGCTTTGCAAATCGATTTGTCAAACTCGTTTCAGTCTCTAGTCTCATTTTGCTCTGTTGCAAGTTGCAAGAATGTCAAAATTTCCTGAGAGAAAACAGTCTCTTGGAACAAATTTAAATTCAAACAAATTTCTGCAGAGTTTTCTCCTTCCTAGCATGTCTTCAATTTCAATAAACTAAAACTCTATATGTTGGGTGCTAGCTACCTGCTCCTGCAACAAAATGAAAAAAGCGGCAATCACTAACTGCTGATTTTAAAAATTATTGCATTTAAAATGTCTGTTATCAGGATAAGGAATCCCAATGAATCGAATGTTCCAAGGATTTCTCAGGTTCATTCTACACAAGTCAAATATATATTGTAAATTTAGTATTGAATGTTGAGAATATTTGTATGCAAGTTTTATTTTTCTTCTTGCTTCTAAACCTTTGGAGTCTGGACTGCTCCGATGAACCTTCTCCAGTATAAATATTCAGTCTTAATATAAAAATCCCCTGCATTTGACTCTTTTTTTCTTTCCTTTTATTTTGATTTGTGGATTCTGATTGAATAACATCAGTGTTCATAAACAGACATGGCTTCTTCAGAAAACCAGGTGTCCTATTAATTGGTTCAAATATTGCATCTAGACCATGCATATCTGAATTCACCATGGATACTGTTCATTGCTTGTTTTGTGGCAAATTTTGTGAACTTAATTCTATCAACACGATTCTACTGTTGGCATGACCTTCCTCAAGAATTTGGGTGTTATAGATGCAAGCATCAGATGCAAATTAGTTTCTTCTTTCCCTTACTTATTTCCTTTTCTTCAGCAGTTCATACAAGTGATTGACAGGTTAAAATAAATGTTCTTTTGTCAAAGAATATAATCGGTGATTTTTATTTTTGTTTTTTAATGGTTCATGGAAGTGCTTGAGTGGTAAAAGTAAATGGTTCTTTTAAACAATGAGGTTGGTCACCTTTTCAGTTTCTTCTCTAACTTGGTTTATTGTTTATCCAAATGCTTCTGGTATCAGGTTCAGTTTTACAAGTGAGGACTCGTTGTAATCATCATTTTATTTGTTCTTCAGTTCTACGGCCAAAATACGGAGTGAAGTTCTTTCTCCCTTCCGATCTGTTCGGATGTTCTTTTATCTTGCTTTCATTGCAAGTGGGACTCTTGGTGGACTAATAGCCATGACACGGCTGATTTCTGCACTGGTAAATGCATCAAGAGCAGCTGAAGTCCCTGATATTCTTAATGGTCTTGGCATAGACATTGGAGCGGTCTCTATCTTTGCTTTTCTTTATTCTAGGGAGAATAATGCTAAGAATGCACAATTGGCTAGACTTGCAAGAGAAGAAAACCTCTCCAATCTTAAGCTCCGTGTGGACGAAAAGAAGGTTATTCCTGTTAGTGCTTTAAGAGGAATTGCCCGTCTTGTCATCCTTGCTGGCCCCGCACCATTCCTTGTAGAGGCTTTCCAACTTAGTAAACCTTTCACAAAGGGCCTTTTGGAACGAGGGGTGCTTGTGGTGCCTTTTGCTACAGATGGGAGTTCGCCTAGTTTTGAATTTGAAGAGAGTGAGGAGATGGATTTAACTAGCAAGCGGAAGAGGCTTTGGCAACTGGTTCCTGTTTTTGCCCCTGAGTGGTCCATGTAAGAGACTATCTTCAATATACATGTACATTTTATTATTTTGCAAGGGGTGAAATGAAAAATAAAAAATAAAAAATAAAATCTCTGACTTTCTTTTATAAACAACAGGTGGCTAGATGAACAAAAGAAACTTGCCAATGTCTCCCCTGAATCTCCCGTGTAAGTACTCTGTGTTACTTCTCTTCTATAACTGAGGGACCCCAAGGATCAATTTTACTTGCATGGACATGCATATATCCTGTTTCAACTTACATTATGCATTTTCGTGCCTCATTACTATTTTCCTTGCTTATTTTCAATCTTCTTTTCTGGAATAGTATTGAAATATGTCAACGTGAAAGCATTTTACATGGCTGAGCATTTAAGAGCAACGTGTTCATTAAATCCATTATTTTGTTTAATACCATTAAAAGTGGGGCAATGACTCAGAAATCTGTCCTGGGATGGAGCCGTTAAAGGCTTAGCAGGGGAAGTTGCCCCCAGTCAATTTCTTTTTTAGTAAGGCTTGCCCAGTGCACGAGGCTCCCTCCAACTGCGGGGTCTGGGGAAGGTTTGACATACGCAACCTTTCCGTATACAGAGAGGTTGTTTCCGGTTTTGAGCCCGTGACACAAGTCACAATAGGGCAACCTTACGGTTCCGCTAAGTCCTGTACTCTTTTATTTTACTTACGTATATATTTCACTAATTTTAAAGTTCCTCCCTCAAAGTTCCAAAGCCTCTTTTAATACCTGGGAAAATTACAAATTAGTTATAGAAATGAAATCGCACTACATTTATGTGCTCTAGAACTCCGTTTTTTTAAATTATTTTTATTTTTATTTTTTAGGAAAAAAAAAAAAGAAAAAAAGAAAAAAAAAAGGATGACTGTGAAACAATTATCCTTCAAGAGCATGTTACTACACAATAATCTAAAAAAATATTTAGTAATTGTGTCTTTTCTTGTTCTTCTTTTTTCCGGAAGGCATGTCATTCCATTTTTCACATATGGTTAATTGGTGAAAATTAGGGCTCTTTCTCACATACGCTGGTGAGGTAGCAAGGAGTTTGTCTCCTAAAGTAAATTTGAATCTGAGCATGATTGAATGAGGTAGTTATCTATCATAAGAATGTTTGCATGAAGAAAGTATGCTTCTCTTTCTGCTCATTTTTGTAGGTATATATCTCTACGCATGGATGGTCGTGTTCGTGGAAGTGGTGTTGGTTACCCTTCTTGGAATGCTTTTGTTGCACAATTACCACCAGTGAAGGGAATGTGGTCAGGAATCCTTGATGGCATGGATGGAAGAGTTCTATAAAAAAAAAATGTCCTTTTTGTTTTTTGCCTTCTGAAGGTCAGATTCTCCATCAACTCACATCAATCGAAATAGCTTTCTCCATTCTTTGTTATAAGATTTTGTTTCACTGTGTATCAGAATGTCAGTTGGTTCATAAAACATTTTAAAACATTTTGACTTGTTGCAAATTTATCAATTGTATTTTAACAATTATCTCTAGTGCTTCTGAGAACATTTGGTCACCGGTTTGCAATAAAAATGAAGTGTAAAAAGAGACTGAATACGATTAAAAAATAGATATTATTTTCTGCATGCTGCAATTAACTGAATAGAGAAATGGGAAGAAAAGTTCTCTTTCCAACTTCTTAGGAAAATTTTCTAAATAAAGAAATGCTTGACATGTAAGTTATTGATTCTTTTTTCATGTTCTCAACACGAACAGGTGAAGCCATAGGTAACTAAGGCATCGTGTATGTGTTTAAAACACGAAAGTGACATCTTAAATATACTCTAAAAGGACATAATTTGAAGATATTTTTTTTTTTGTTTTTGGGTAAATATAATTCGGAGATTGTTTTCACTTTTGTAGTAAATTCAGTAGCAGTTATTATAACAAAAGGCTTCACATGGAACTGGAACGCTCTACTTGGTCATGCAAAACTTGTTAATGATAGTTGCTGACCTGATCTTTCTATTTGTCGAGATGAAAACCTTCATTAATGAACCCTGAAACAGAGAGTGCATAGGATTTTCCCATGGAATTGGCATTTGTTCAGTGTTATTTATTCTTGCAGGACATTGACATCTTTAAATCTTGTGAAAAGTAAAATAAAGTATCATTTAGATATGATGCATTGATAAAATTCTCTGTTTTTTTATACTTATATAGGATCTTGTATAACATAGAACTTATAATTTGCCATCTGATTTTGTTATTTTTCTGTTTAAGCATTTTTTATGTTTCTTTATAAGAAATTCTGAGGAAAGCATGGCAGACTGGAGATGTTTCTAAGGTTGGCTCAAGCTCAAAGAGTCCTCAAGTAAGTGTTTTAGGTCAGCTAAATGGCTACTCGTGAAGCTCGAGCTTGACTCAATTGGCTTGTTAATTTAATAAGTTAATCTTGAGCTCAAATTCGAGATTATTCTGAAGTCAAGCTCTTGCTCGAGTTAATCGATTAGCAAAAGTCAGTTACAATTTATAATTTTCATGAGTCTTATTCTATTCACTGCTCACAAGGCATAATGTTCACCGAATCTTCCTAATGAATAGAGTTCCTTTCACAAGTCCTGTTCGCGAGTCTTATAGTCAGGGGACCAAAAAAATACTACTAGAAGACTTTAACAATTAGATGGTGAATACCTGAATGAGCTCTCTAAGTTGAGTCGAGCTTGAATTGTTCATTAACAATTTGACTAATACAGTGTCCTACTAACCAAACAGTGGAGGAAACCCGTTGGAAGGGATGGAATATCGTGGCATCGAGTGAAAGTTGTGGGATCCCATATCATCAATAACGTGACTAAATTATAGCTAGTAATGTTCCTAGTATGGATATTTTAGTAAAATATATAAGAAATAAAGATCAAAACATGTTTAAAATAGCCAGAGGTTATCAGGGGAAGTATTATACACATTCATAGACAAGCCATTCAGAAAGAGATAAAAATGACAGTAAAACAACAATCACAATTGCAGAATAACTCATTTAACTTCTTGGATCTCATCCAACGCGTAGTTGTTTGTAGATACATTTGCATAATTGACTTTGTTGAACCGAACAACAACTGGGTAGCGAGTCTTTTGGTCCTGCACATTGAAACACAATACAAAAATTATCACACAGTCACACACACTGAAAAACACAGAGAGAGAGAGAGAGATGGTGTGCCCTTGTACCAGTAGGACTCCTTTCTGAAAATTTTCACCTGAGGGAAACAAGTAGATTCTTGATCTCATGTTGTTGTTTGGTAAACAACAACAACATAGATAAAATAAACAGAGAAGAATGTTTACTGCAGCTTAGGGAGTTTCTGTGGTGACTGTTATGTTAGTCATGTTTTCTATATTGCTCATCCTATTTTTGGGATTGGCATACTACAGGTGAGGTGACTCCATAAAAAGAGATTAATCCACGAGACTTCTATTATTGTAGTCCATGTCAGAATGGAGCAACCTTGCGTTGCGTTGCGCTAGTCCATGCAACTGATTATTATAACATTAAAGAATCATGGCTTTCTAGTTTGGTACTACTAACCTTGGTCCCTCTCATGGGTCCAATGGGAGGTGGCTTTGTTGCCGGAGTAGCTTCCCTTCCGGTGTGGCAGTGGTGGCTGCTTTCGGAGTTGCCCGTACAACCAGGCTTGAATAAGTGATCCTAAAGCCTTGTTTTAAATTTTTAATGAATATGTTCACATCTAAACGGAAACTGCTGCTATCCACCAACATTTCATTATTTACATCATAGGATGTAAATTTTAAAGAATATACAAATACAACCCATAATGATTTAATGACTCAAACACACCCACACTCTCTCCTTCTCTCCATTTTCTTTAGGGTAAAGAGCAAAAAAATCTATCTGTTATATTCATAATGTGCAAAAATTATGTTGGTGTTCAAAAAATCCTTCCCATTTTTCAAATTGAGCATATAAAGACATTTTTTCAATTTGAAGACTAAACGGATTAAAATGTCCTTAAAGGAAAATTAAAAATTTTATATGCCCATAATTGATTAAGGGTATTCTGGAATTTATATATATATATATAAATAATTAACAAAAGTCAAAATTGACGATTAGTGGCACTAAATAGCAATAGTGTTTCTTGTACAATTTTTTTGTGTTTTTTTTTTTTTTGGTGTGCCCTTCGCCCTTTTCTTTATTTTGCAATAATTTGTCTGTCCTTCCCTTCTTTTTCTTGTTAGCCCCGAACTCATTGAAATGCGGTGGATCTCAATCGGGTTGGAGGACGAATTGTTCCTGAACTCAATCCCCAATTGTATGACTTTTAGTTACAGACACCCGTAGGTAAGCCCAACTCAACGCATATTAACATCCCAAAGGGTAAGGGATCAACCACAAGGATATTAGTCTAGCTTGGCCCAATTCATAGGCCTGTCTCGAACACAAGACCTCCTACATGCGAAGTTTTTGTGTCCAATTCTTCAACCATTGGAGCTAACTCCTACGGGAGCTTATTTGGGCCAATTTTCCATCTAAACTTAACCTCAAATTCAATTTGGGTACCACATAATTACTCAAATAAGTCAGGTATCCTGCATTTATGGGAATCAATTGCATAGGGCTTTGAAATGAGGGGTGGATGGGATTTGAATTTTTTTTTTTTTTTTGGAATTGAATATCCAATTTCACCTTTCTGCTTAAAAATAAATAAAAATAAAAAACAACTCATACAAACTGACAAGTTTTGCTATATTAGTCTGAAAAGGAGAAGTTATACCAAGTTACCAACTAAGCCAATGTCCAATACCTTTGGTATCTTTATCTTCTTTATCTCAAATTCTAAGTTTTTTTATTTTTATTTTTTTAAGCCACATTTTAAAATATTTTATTCAAAATCCAAATAAGTGTTAGTATCATAATTTCCTTAACTAGATAAATTAGGATCTCATTTCATGTCTTCCATGTACAAGTTGTACAACTAGGTTGCGTAATTGGTTTTACCACACAAACTACCAACAGTCGAAACTTGGCACAGATGCATCATTCCTATCACGTGCCGCTTTGGCGCCTAATCTCTCACTTTTCTCTCTCTCATCAACGGTAGAAAATTTCTAGGTCATCAAGAACAAAATCAAATCTAAGGTTTCGAAAATTGAGTTTTGTCATTGCATTAGAAATCATGAAAAGAAGATCCAAAATTTCCCCAAAGGTCGTTCAAAGATTCGAAGTTCTTGGTTGAGATGTTTTCGTGGAATTCGAAGCTAAGGGAACCTCTTCAGTACTACAACCTTCATGAAACCTAAGATTTTCTTCCTGATATCCTAAAATTGATTTTATTTTTGGCAATCATATGATTAATATGTATATGCCTCGTTATATAGCAATGTTATTAATTGAATTTGAGGAATTACATATTTCTGAAAGCTGAAATGAACATTTCCTGCATGTATTTGGTTAGGATGAAAAAATCTCAAAAAACTTGTAAGAAAGTTCGGTATTATAATTTGGAGAACTTGAAAGTTACACAGAATAGGAGTCTTAAATGAACATTTTTTTGTATTGTACAGAATAAAAAGTATCATTGCGCTTTGGGATGTAAAGGAGATACACAAGTTACAGCCCTTGCTAAAATAAATTTGTTATAAATCAATCATCTTTTTTTACCCATTTTGGTTACTTTTTAATGCTTCTTAAACTGAAGAAAGAATAGGGAATCTTAGATTTGAATGCATCTTAACTGTGGTTGATCGACAATGTTAATTTGTATCATTAATAGATTCGATTCTAATCATGTTTCTTTTTTGTGGATAATTATTTATAGGTGATTCGTGTTGGGAAAAGCCACAAATAACAAAGAGAGATGGTACTCTTTTAATAAGCAATCAAGCAGTTTTGTTCATCCTTTTCCAATCACATCCTTCTCACTCAATATCACATTGCCATTTGGCCAGCTTTGTACTCATGAATTTTAAACAAACACATTTTTTTGAATAAATGAGACGGTCTAGTTGCAGAAATAAACGATTTGTCATAAATTTATCGTGTATCTTTTTCTTCTTTTCTACTGCACGAAGCAAAAAGTAGTTTCCTTGCAAAATTACCCATATTTCCCCCCGAAAGATACAATTCACGGTTATGATTCATGATTGGTCCCCATTAATTTCCATGTGTTTTGATTGAGATAACCACCTATGAATGGACAGTACTACTGTTGTTTTTCTTAGCTTTCAAGGTAGATAGCTGCATTGTTCAACACATACTGCTGATACATCATCTTTAATGTTATGAATTTTTTAGGTACATTGAAGACTTAGAAGCCTTGTGGTTGTGACTGTGCTATAAATAGCTTAGCAGTTGGCATCTTGTGGGGGCTGCATGATTGGCTAACACTTTTTTTTTTTCTTTTTTTTTTCAAAAGGTTAAAGAGTTAATATTACTAGTTTAGACCAGCTTGGAGATGGTGCATTCATGGTTTTTTCCACAAAATAATAATAATAATAAATATTTGACATATTACAGGACTCGCAGGATGCAAATTCTATCCATATGGAGCAGATTCTCGAATGAGTTTTTGCTAATGGCTTGCA